CACAGGCAGAAACCACCAGGAGAACTAGTGCCAGGGGAAGAAAACCTCAACAGTAATGAATGAATTGCTTAGTGTGACAAGTCTGAGAGTTAAAAACTCCAGGGATACTCAGTCATGGGGGCTTCCAGACATCTCTGAGTTCTACCTCCAGGAGCCCAACCAGATTCTCACAAAAAATATCAAAGAAAAATCCCTTCACACTTCTGGCAGGGAGAAGGGAAAAGAGGCCATTTTGAAATATACCAGAGCACTCTGTTCTTCTTAACAAGGCCTGCCCTCTGGAGAAACTAGTTAACCAGAGCCTAGCCTACTGGGGTGTTAAGTTTTGAAAGAAGCCAAAGAAAATAACATCTTACCTGATATGCACCCAACAACAGAACGCCAAACTGCATGAAGCAAAAACTGACAGAACTGAAAAGAGAAACAGTTGATTCCACTATCACAGTTGGAGATTTCAACAACCCTCTGTCAGAAATGGACAGATCCAGAGGGCAGAAAATCACGATACATCCCATGGACATTAACAGACTACTAGAGGAGCACTACGAACAACACTATGCCCACAAATTTGATAACCAAGATGAAATGGACCTTCCTTAAAAGATATAATCTGCCAAAACTCACACAAGAAGAAATAAACAATTCGAATAGGCCTCTATCTAATAAATAAACTGAATCAGTAATTAATATCCTTCCAAAACAGCATCAGGCCCAGATGGGTTCACAGTGAATTTTACCAAATATTTAGGGAAGAAATTATACCATTCTCTATAATCTCTTTCAGAGGATGGAAGCAGACAGAATATTTCCTAACTCATTCTATGAGGCCAGTATTACCCTAATACTGAAACCAGACAAAGACATTATAAGAAAAAAAAAACACTACAGATCAACATCTCTCATGAAGGGATGTAAAAATCCTCGACAAAATATCAGCAAGTCAAATCCAACACTGCATAAAAAGAATTATACACCATAAACAGCTGGGATTTATCCAAGGCGTGCAAGGCTAGTTCAGCATTCAAAAATCAACTCATGTAATCCATCACATCAACAGGCTAAAAAAGAAAAATCACATGATCATATCAACTGCTACAGAAAAAGCATTTGACAAAATACAACATCCATTAAAAAAAAAAACTCTCAGTACATTAAGAATAGAGAGGAACTTCCTCAACTTGACAAAGAATATCTACAAAAAATCTACAACTAACATCATACTTAATGGTAAGAAACTAGAAGCCTTCCCAAGATCAGGAACAAGGCAAGGATGTCCTCTCTGACCAGTCCTTTTCAATACCACATTGGAAGTTCTAGGTAATGCGATAAGACAAAGGAAGTAAAAGGTACAGAGACTGAGAAGAAAGAAATGAAACTGTCTTTGCTTGCAGATGACATGATTGTCTATGTAGAAAATCTAAAAATATCAACTAAAAACTCCAGGAACTAATAAGTGATTATAGCAAGGTTAATATACAAAAGTTAATTGCTTTCCAAAACCCAGCAACGAGCAAGTGGAATTTGATATTAAAAAACACATTTATATACTATTTATATTAGCACCAAAAAATTAAATATTTAGGTATAAATCAGCAAAATATATACAAGATCTATATGACAAAAACTATAAAACTCTGATGAATGAAATAAAAGAAAAACTAAATAAATGGAGAAATATTCCATGTTTGTGGATAGGAAGACTCAATACTGTCAAGATGTCAGTTTTTCCCAGCTTGATCTATAGAATCAGTGCAACTCCAATCAAAATCCCAGCAGGTTATTTTCTGGATATCAACAAACTGATTCTAAAGTTATATGGAAAAGCAAAAGACCTAGACTAGCCAACAAAATATTGAAGGAGAAGAACAAAGTTGGAGCACTGACCCAATCCAACTTCAAGACTTACTATAAAGCTACAGTAATCAAGACAGTGTGGTACTGGCAAAAAAACAGACAAATAGGTCAATGGAACAGAACAGAGAGCCCAGAAACAGACCCACATAAATACAGTCAGCTGATCTTTGAAAAGAAGCAAAGGCAATACAACGGAGCAAAGATAGTCTTTTCAAATAGTACTGGAACTGTATACTCACATAGGAAAAAAAATTAATCCAGGCACAGAACTTACACCCCTCACAAAAATTAACTCAAAATGTACTATAGATATCAGTGTAAAATGTGAAACTATAAAACTCCTAGAAGATAACATGGGAGAAAATCTAGATGACCTCGGGTATAGCAATGACATTTTATATACAACACCAAAGGCACAATCCATAAAAGAAATAATTGATAGGCTGGACTCAACTAAAATTAAAAATTTCTGCTCTGTGAATGACGATGTCAAGGGAGTGAGAAGACAAACCACAAACTGAGAGAAAATATTTGTAAAAGACATATCATAAAGGATTGTTATCTAAAATATACAGAGAACTGATAAAACTCAACAGTAAGAAAACAAACAACTCAGTTAAAAAATGGACCACGCACCTTAATGAACACCTCACTAAAGGAGATATACAGATGGCCAATGAGATATGAAAAGATGCTCCATATCGTATGTCATCAGGGAAATGGAAATTAAAACAGCAAGATACCACTGCACACCTATCAGAATTGCCAAAAGGCGGAACACTGAGAATACCAAATGCTGACAAGGATGTGGAGCAACAGGAACTCATTCATTGCTGGTAGGAATGCAAAATGGTACAGCCACCTGGGAAGACAGTTTGATGGTTTCTTAGAAAACTAAGCATACTCTTCCCATATGATCCAGCAGTTGAGCTCCCTGATATTTACCCAAAGGAGTTAAAAACTTATGTTCCCACAAAACCATGTACATGGATAGTTGCAGTGGCTTTATTTATAACTGCTCAAACTTGGAAGCAACCAAGATATCCTTCAGTAGATAAATGGATAAATAAACTGTGGTACATCCAGAAAAACAGAATATTATTCAGCCAAAAAAATGAGTTATTGAGCCATGAATGTACATGGAGGAGTACTTCTAAGTGAAAGAAGCTAGTCTGAAAAGGCTACACACTGTAATGATTCCCACTATATGGTGTTTTGGAGAAGGCAAAACTATGGAGACAGTAAAAAAAGAAAAATCAGTGGTTGACAGGGGTTGAGGGTACGGTGGGTAGGGATGAATAGGTAGAGCACGCAGGATTTTAGGGCAGTGAAAATATTCTGTATGATATCATAATGATGGATATGTGTCATCATACATTTGCCCAAGCCCATAAAATGTACACCACCAAGAATGAACCCTAATGTGAACTATGGACTTTGTGGGATTATGATGTGTCAATGTAGGTTCATCAGTTGTAAACAAGTGCACCACTCTGGTGGGGGATGTTGACAATGGGGAAGGCTGTTCATGTGGGGGCAGGAGGTATATGGGGATTCTCTTTACCTTCCTCTCAATTTTCCTGTGAATCTAAAACTGCTCTTACATTTTTTTAATATGAAAAAAATCTACATTTCATATATCTGAAAACAAACTAAGCAAATAAAATAATGACTATCCTAAGTGTCCACAAAGAGAAGACAGTGAAGAGAGGCAACCTGCTAATCTCTGAAACTGCTCCAGTGAGAACCAAAGAACTACAGTAGGAACTGAGATGATAATCAAAACATAAGGTCCTAGAGATATGAGATATTAGAGAGAATAACTGAGTAAAGAGGAGACTCTCCTTCCCTGGAGACCCCTCAGAGATAAGACTAGCCAGTCAGGGCTACTCTGAGGCAGGAACAGGATGGTGCTTTAGTAAATAAAAATCCATGCTAAAAAGATGCCCTACAGCAATTTCCTAAAAGGAATACCCAAGATCAATCTTACTTTCTTCTCTTGCTCCTCTTCTTCCTCCTCCTCCTCCAACTCTGACTCTTCCTCTTCTTTCTCCAAGCAGGAATCTGAGCTGTTCGCTGCAGACAGCATTAAGTCTAGAACAGGAATAGGAGGGAAAGGCTAAATAATTTATCCGTAAAATACATGATGAGTTAGTGGAGCTGATCCCAGAGAATCAGTCTTCTAATTCTGCCTTTCAAGGTCAAAGGGTGTTTTCTCCACAAAATATGATCCCGGATTATCATGGCTCCACTCTTTTCAAATGCCCTGTCACTATTCAACATGCACCTTCCCTCCCTATTCCCTTTTTTCCCCTATTCCTCTCTCTGCCCATCCATCCATCCCAGATACTTGGTCAGTGGCATTCATGGAAAGCCTCCCATTATAGAATCAAGAACTAGGCTGATGGCATTGGACATAAAACAAAGAAAAGCTTCCGTTCCTGCTCTCATGAAGGAATCTCTCCTTTCCCTCTCCAATCGTTAACCTCCTACTTTCCTACCTTTTCCTCCCCCACTATCGTCAGATCCACTGTATCGGCTCCAGAAACCAAACAAGTTAACCCGCTCCTGAAGGAACCAAGAAACAAAAGCATCAGCCACTACTCTCCCAGGGGCTCTTTTTGCCCTCTGTCTTCAAGGTTTTTAGTTACAGAACTTGTATGCATATTCCATATCATTTTCACTTGGAATTTCACATTAGGTTTATCTAGATTTTTGTGGAGATTAACTATTATAATATATTACAGTATTATTACATATAATATTATTATAATTTCTTTTTCCAGTTTGTTTATAATTCAGCTAATAACTGGGAAGGGGAAATTCACTGTTTGTCATTTGCTACCTGACTCAAAGGCAGAATTTAAGGGTATAAACTGACTCTACATAAGAGAGAATAAGGTACATTCACCTAAGATTTGAAGTTAAATAAGGTGGTAGGATTCCCCCTACCACAAACTGTCTCTGTTTGGACTGAAAAAAGATCCCATTTGTTCAAGGGTAGGAAAAAGAATGGATGATTTAAGGAGTCAAGGGAATCTGGCCTGGGAAGAAAGGACTAGTTCTAAGACTAAGACTGTGTAGCAGGGAAAGATAAACTGGTTTTCTACAGTAAGGAATGTATGGTTTGCTTTGCATCCCAAGTCCCAGAGAGGAGCAGGTATGTGACCTAAACACTCCCACCTGAATACTGATCTGCTCTGCCTCTTGAGCCATCATCAGGGCTGCCCCCAGTTTCTGGCTGCAGTCCTTATTCCTGCACTTTTTCTGAAATGAAAGATTAGAGTCAATGATAAACATTACAGAAGTGACCTGAACATACTGCTACTCACCAGACATTATCATTACATTTATTTCCAGCTTCTGCTATTAATGTGATACTCCTATTCTTAATCTTTTGAGCTCTGAGACACAATTCCCCCTTAACCCCAAACAAATCTTTCATCAATTTCTAGCAATATTTTCAATCAACATTTTGGTGCCCTCTCCAAAGTAAAGGCCATGGAAATTTGTAAATAAGAGATTAAAGGAGTTTGGGTGATTGCATTTTTAAGCTTTTCACAAGTTTCTTCAGATCCAGTTGCTTGATTTAATACTCACGATCTGATTTTCCAAGGCCACTGAGCTGCTGGGCCTCTACTCACTTGTAAGGTTCACAAACACAAAGTGATTAATAGGGGGGAAATACTATTTAGTTAATTATCCTGCTGCAATCCTGGTAGAAAGAAGAGTGCCTCATGAATACCCTCACCTTTGCACACGTGGTCAGACATGGGACTTTCTCCCGACACAGATTCCCCTGGGAGAAATCAGGTTTAACAAAGGGAAGATTTTGTTCTCCAAGTTCCCTAAATCACCAACTGACCCTCTAGGGTTGCTCACCAATCCAGCTAGCTCCAGGGACAGCTCCTGGAAGTTCTTTAACATATTCACTGGGATCCAAGCACGAGAGACTGTTTCTCCAAAAAATGTCACGTGGTACTTGGACTGAAATAAAAGATGGTTGTGTTACAGCCTCTTGTCCTTCTCCTTGCTTTGGCCCTCCAGCCAGAAAAGGCAGGAGAACTGAGTATTCACAAGGAAGGAAGTGCTGGGCCTGGTCTGTTCCCTGAAACCTGACCCGCCTACCCCACCTCATCCCACTGTTCTTCCATCCTGACCTCAGGAATCCTAACCAAAGCATATTTATCAAAACTATAAATGTCCTAGTAATGAATAAACATTTAATTAGACACAAGTTTGTTTCTATATCTTTTTGCCACTCTAGCTAAGTATCTGTTTCTGCTCATGTTTGCTGGCTATGTCTATATTTATAATTCTCTACATCTGTTAGGGTAGATTTGCTCCTTACTTTGGCCTGAGCACCTACCTACCCTGAACCAGGAAAACTCACCGGCAGGGAATCAAGATGAGAGGCAAAAAGAAAATATTCCCCTAAGTCAGGATCAGATTCTACCATGCCTGGCCACCTAGAGAAGACAGATGGGTGAAGAGGGTGGAAGACAAGGGGTTAGATTAACAGAACACAAACTCATCAATATACATGTACAGAAAGGGGCAATGTGTTTTGCAAACAAAGGATCCCCAAAATAGATTCCCCTGTCAATCCCCCATAGTGGTTACCACCAAATGACTGAAGTGGCTTCTATTAATGTACACAGAAGCTCAGAGTCTTTCTAATAAAAATATCTTATCCTTCTAGGCCTCCTGGCAACCCTGGAAACAGAATCTTCTGACCAGGGACATCTCCAAAGAAGAGGCTATTCCACCTTCCTTGTTCTCTTTACTTTGTGTATCTCTCATTTTCCCAATGTCTAAAAAAAAATCTTAAGTGCCACTCTCTTCTTTCTACCCATTCAGGGTAGAACTGTCCAACACTTTTTGCCAGGGAGATACCACCTCCACTATGAAACCTCTAGAAAACATGCTCTTTCAAAGCCTCCAAGCTTGGTACTTTACCTTGTCCCTCACCCCATGCTCTTTCTAAGGCAGGTACCATTTCCATTATAAATGCTTTTCATTTCCTTCCCTCCCTGCTGAATCTACCACTCCCAAGTTCAAGAGGGATGCTCTGACTCTGTCATGGCACCTTACCAGGGGTAACCATATTGTTTGGCCCAGATGATGGACCCTGGGATGTAGGAGGCATAGGCCACATCACTCTCGCGCCCTATCCAGGTCTCCTCAGGGATATCACAGCGGTTATACTCCAAGTCTGCCAAAAGAGAGTAGAAATGAAGGGAAGGAAAGAGCCTCATAAGGTGAAAATCTGGATGAAGGCAGAGGAGAGGACAAGAAGAAACCGATATATGCAGCAGGTGGGACCACAAGGACACCTGGGAGACAGGTATGGAGGAAGAGTAAAGACCTATGAAAGAAATGCAGCTAGAGCCAGGAAAAGCGGGAGTGTTGCCTCATTATGCTCTGTAGAAAGAGGTCCCAAACTTCTGCCTATATCCCACATTGTCTGACCCTGTTTCCAACAATGTAACATCACAAAGATAATTTCTCTGAAACTGTTTTCTCATCTGTAAAATAGATGGGCTAGAAGGGATCACCATCTCTTTCAAGAGTTTCAGACATTCTAGAATTCCAAGCCACTGCATCTCTCTCACCTGCTTTTCCCCATATATCCCATATCCCTTCCCATCCACCAACCCAATACCAATAATCTAATCAGACTGACAGGGTCAAACCAATGCTGAAGAAGGTGGAATTCACTCAGAACACACATTTAGATTCCAGGATCCTCCCACAACATAACTCTTCACGGTGTCTTCCTCTAGCCCTTTATGCCAGATTCATCTTGACATCGAAGAAAAATTCCTTCCTCTCTCCAAACACTAACTACAAGGGACTCGAGTTTAAACTATACTTTTGTCATATTTAATCTAAAGAATGCAAGCAAGGAAAGAAAGAATGGAACAATAAAAACCGAAAAAAAATTTCTATTCCATTCTACCTGTATTCTGGTCACAGGACCAATTATCTGGGAGCACTGAGGGGTCAATGTTCCCACGTAGCCGCCTCCATTTCTCACAGTTTGGGGAGGAACACTGGACCCAGACTAGGCACTGACCTGTCACAGGAAAAAAACCTGAAATAAGACTCAAATATATGTTCTTCTTTCTTCAATCTAACTAAAATCAATATACTCCCTGCCACCCCGCACCATGCCAGAATCACATAGCCTTAGAAATCAACTAGTCCAATCCCTGACTTATAAAAGGGAGAACCAAAAGCTCAGAGAAGATAATTGACTGCTGAAGATCAGTCTAAACTGGTGGCAAAGCTCAACTTAGAACCCAGGTCTCACATCTCAATCTTCCTCCTATATCATGCTATCACTTCTCCTCCCCGCCAGGGCAGAGAGGATTGTTTCCTGTATTGACAGTTCTTACAAAGGTTGTCTTGCATCTTTCTGGCTAGTGCTTCATTATCCCCTGGCATGTCACTACTAAAAAGTTCTTCTGAAGGACTACCCAGCATCTCTTTTTGTGCACAACACCCAGAGTTCCTATTTGAATCTCAACAGATTAACCTGTCACCAAATCACCAAGTTGCAGCCTTTGGGGCCAACAGTCCTTGAGCTCACCTCTCTCCGAAAGATAGGTCTAAGCCTAATATTTTTCAATCAACTGTTTACTTCAGGCCCTGCTCAAAGGCCAAGCATTCTTCTTATCCATTACCTTCTCAACTCTCATCCCCACCTTTCTCCATCCCCTTATCTTCTCAGTTGACCTAGTGCCCCACACAGCCTCTCCTCTCTCCCTCCCAAACCCTTCCACTATATCTTTGGAATTCCAGGAAAAAGCAACAAAAATCCATATATCCTCAGCCTCTTCTCTGAACTTCTGCTTCCTTTTTGAAAACTGGGGATGCACTAATGACACTGCCACAGCCCAACCCTACCCTACCCCTGTAACCCTCTACGTAGAATCTGTTCCTTCTCACATACCCCAGGCCAGAAAATGGGGTCAGCATCACCCTTACTCCCCATTGAAACTTCCAGACCATTACTATCTTAGAGCCTATAAAAACCCTTCCTCACTTGAGGTCCAGGGGCTACATTGCCCTTCATCTCCCTTGTCAAGATGTTGGCATCTGGTTCAGTCTTCTTTCCACTTGCCCTCATAGATGGCCACTATTTCCCCAGGGGTAACTCACAAGGCATCCCATACCTTTTCCTCCACACCTCAGTAACCTACGTCACCTCAGGAACCCACTCCCTTCCTGCATGCCCCATCTAGTTATCTGCAGGGACCACACACTCCCCTGAACCACTTATCCAAATATCCCTCTCTGATAAAAATGCCCCATCCTTCCACCACACTTGCTCAAAGACCGCTACAGCAACTTTCACTTTATCTAGATCTCCAATCCACTGGCCCCAACCTTCCCTGCAATCTAGCAGCAACCTCTTTTCTTCACTCTGTACTTCTTAGGTTTGATTTCCTTAGATTCTCTTGCAGACATCTTCAACTCCCTTTTCCTCTGTCCTTCCTCCCACCCAGCTGGCAAAACACAACTCTGAATGAACCCACTCTACCTTTTGCCTACACTAATAAACTGAGTGTTGCTAGAGAAAAATCACATAACCAGGCACTATATACTCACAGTTAACAACATTAACCAATATGTTTCTCTAGTAAGTTCACTCTCCCACTGTCAAATTTTACTTTAAATGCTGGAACATAAGGGATGCCCTCCATCCCACTGAAATCATCCCTCAGAAAAGCAGTCGACTTACATTTGGGTCCTTTCAAAATATCTCATGTGGTTCAGTTTCTCAATTACCTTATTTTTAAGAATAAAGTACTGATTGGGAATCATATGTTAGTGTGAAAAGACAGTTGTAATGGTAGTTTTGGATGTTTACAGAGGTGATCTGGCAAGACTAGAAAAAAAGAGTGGGGGAAAGGGCAGGGACCATAAAAGTGAACAGAGATCAATACAATAAATGGTAGTTGTGAAAACAGTGAAAATTCATGAGGAAATGAGTTGGGGAAAAATCATTCCAATACTATAGAAATAGAGATATTTATGGTTTGGGGTGAAATTTCCAATGCCAGTTGGAAAAAAAACACACTGTTTTGAAAGGCATAAAGTTCTTTAAAGTTTCCTTTCAAACAACTTAGAAAGAAGAGAAGATGTGTTTGAAACCTGTGTTTGAGGCTCATGACGTGCCTCTGTGACAATGAAGACCGATGTCATAAACATATGTCAATGGCACTTCAGTTGACCACTCATTCCTGAAACACTGGTTTACCTGGGTTCTATGATCCTTCATTCTGACATTTCCCCTTCCCATCTTTCTAGTAACTCTCTCCTTGGTCTCCTTTACTGGGTTCTCCTCGTCCTCTGTCCAACCTCTAAATCTCTGAGTTGAGATTTCAAAGCCTAATCATGGGTCTTTGTGTGCCATGCTACACTTTCTCCTGAGGCCAGCTCACCCATTCCTTCGGCTTTGAAATCCATTTTCATTCCTGACAACACAGAGATGTACACTAACAGCCTCTGTTCTGAGCTCCTGATTCCTATAGCCACCTTGCTCTCTGACAACTCTATCTGGATGCCTCACAACAATCTCAAACCTAATGGGCCCAAACCCAAATATTTGATCTTATCCCACAGAATTGCTTTTCCACCTCCTTTAACATAACTGCTCAAGCCAGAAACCAATTATCTTTGACATATCCTCTCCTCTCTCTCACCTCCCAATATCCAGTTCATTACCAAATTCTGACAATTTTACCTCCAAAACATCTTACAACCATTTGCTTCTGTCTCCACTTTCATCATCCTAATCTAAGCCACCAAAATATCTAATCCTAGCACTAACTTCCTAACTCCTGTCTCCCCATACTCCATTCTCCAATTAATCACCAAAGGGATTCTTTTAAAACATCAATTTGATGATGTCACTTACCTGGTTAAAACCCACCAGTGGCTTCTCACTGTACTCAGGATAAAATTCTTACTTTGTTACATAGTCTTTGATCTAACCATGGCCCAGAGTCACTTTCTGGCCTTGCTTCCTTTGCTCACTAAATCCTAATTACACTGGCTTTGTTTTAGAACCTGGGACATGCCAAACTTCATCTTACCTAAAATGCTCTCCTGAGCTTCACTTGGCTAACTTCTGCTCTTTCTCCAGGTTTCAGTTTAAACGTTATTTCCTCACAAATGCATTCCCTGACTGGCCCATCTTAATGAGATCTCCACCACTTCCTCTCATGACACTATTTCCTTCCCTTCACAGAACTTAAATCAAATGTTATATAATGGATACTTCCCTTTCTGCTTCCTAGTCCAAGAGCACCCACCTCTCCTTGGCAACTATAAGAAACAGGAAGAGTGCTACATTGATAGCAAATGTCTTACACATTCACAACAACCCCAATTCAACTCACGAGCACTGACTGCCAAAGAAGTAAACTTCCATCTTCCAGTCTAAAATCCACTCCTTGCCCTAATAACAAGAGTTACACGAGACAGAACACCACTATCAAGACCACCCAATTGCCCAAATTAGACTTATACCTCCAGCTCTTTCTATTACCATGCCATTACAACATGAGAAGTGGTTTATTCCCCTAGACTATCTTGTTTGGTGCCTGCATAATCTTCCTAGAGTTTTCTTTCAAGTATGTACAAACCATATTATGCTTCCATAATCAAAATTATGTATATACATACATACATATTAGATACTAGCTAACTGTTTATTCTGTTGTTCCTTAAACTTTGGTTCTTTTTTTTTCTGGTGCAAGCCTGTTTTCCCCCAGATTAAGTCTACTTACTTTCAAAATTTTAAACATACTAATATATATTGTATGATCTATTTTATTTCTCATACTAAAATTCCCCAATATTACCAAGGTTATGTCATACAATATATTTGTTTATCATCTAATAAAACCATAAATTCTATGAAAGCAAGGATTATCTATTCTGTTCACCACTGTATTTCCAGCACCCAACACAATACCTGGTACATAATATAAGGCATTAATAGCTGTTGTTAAAAGAATAAATAAATCTATATCCATCTTTATTGTCCCTCCATCCAACTCAAAGGTTAAGGTGTCCTTTCTGACTAAAAATAAACCCTCTGGTTTTCTTCTCATTCCCTTTAATCTCCCTTTCTCTATAAACAATTTTTCCTTAGCATATAAATATGCTGACAACACACACATCAAGTCTCTTTCTCTCAAATGAAAGCTAAAAAAGGAAAAAATCTTCCCTTAACTTTATACCCACCCCCCTTTATTTGCTATTTCCCCCTCCTAGTTTTCACATCTAAACTATTGTAAAAAGTATTTATTCTCCAACTATAACCTACCAGTCACCCTTACCAACCTATACGTTGCTAATCAACACTTACAACTTCCTAACTGTAATATGCATTAAGCATTTTCAAATATTTATCCTCTTTGATGTTTTGTAGTAGCATTTGGCATGGCTACACACTCCTGCTTTCTCAAGCTTCTCTCCTCCCCTGGCATCTGTGATACTACACTCTCCTAGTTGTCCTCCTACTTTTCTGAGCTTTGTTTTCCCCCTGGGTAGCTTAGTTTTCTTCTTGGTTTTCTCCCTGGGTAGCTCTTCCCCTGCTCAACCCTAAATATTATGTTCCCCAGGGTTTTTCATCCAGTGCTCTTCTCTTTTCACTCTGCATCCTCTTCTTGATGAATAGGCATCCTATCCCAAATCCGTATCTCCCGCCCAGACCCCTTTCTTGAACTCTAAATCTCATCACAGATCCCGTAATTTATCCAAAGCTCAATTCATCATCTTCAACATGTTCTTTCTTCTAGTCTCCATTTCAGATCATGATCCTTCAGCCACTCACAGTCACTCATGCCAGAAAACAGGACCATCCTAGAGGCCTCACTCTTCCTCAGCTCTGATATCCAACTGGCAATCATATCGTATTTATCCTGCCTCCTAAAGATCTCAAATTTGTCCCCTCCTCTTCATTGCTACTGTCTGTCTTCCTTGCTTGGGTAATTATTTCTATGGGTCTAGTCTTGCTCCTGCCAGTCCATCTTCCATGCTAATGCCAGAGTGAGTTTTCTAAAATGCAAATCTTACCAAGTTTTCCCAGCTTAATGTCAATAGTTCCTCTTTACCTTTAAAACAAAATCCAAATCCCTTACCTTGACTTGTAAAGCCCTTTATGATCTGGCTCTTGCATACCTTTAGCCTTATCTCCCCATTCCTACAACCTCCTACTCCGCAACACACCCAAGAGCTACAACCATTAGCGCTCCTCCATGACTTTGCCAATAATTATCACTCTGACCCCCATTCCTACCTTAGTTCACCTGACTAAATAATACTTTAAGAGCTGGCTCAAGTGATATCTTTTCTTGGAAACTTTTCCAAGTCTACTCCCAACTTGTAGCTTTCTTTTTGGCCTTCCTTACAAGCCTGTCTCTCTCATGACAGGCTTATATTTGTTTCCTCTGCATTTACTCAGCACCTCCTAAAATGCCTTGTACATGGTAGGCAACCAACAACTGTGGATTATGACTGAAAAACTGAATGAATGACATCATTCTCTCTCTTTCTCAGCAGCATATTCTCTAAAAAGCAGCTGTGAGAGATAAATTATAGTCTTTGCTTGCAGAATTTCTGCTAACATCCTAATCCTTGCTTCTATCCACCACCTCCAATTTTTAAGCCCAGGTAGGTTTTCCAAACCATGGCTGAACTCACCAAAACCACTTCCCTCTCGTTTTTGTTGGTCCCTGATCTGAGAATGACCCTGAACAATTTTCTTCAGTTGGTCTTTCTGTCTGTGCTCATGTCCACTTTGGGCTTCCTCCATTTTCTCATATTCTGGGAAGATAAAACAAAACATTGTGGGGTAGAGAGATAAAGAAGGGGATCTTTGTAGATAGTAAGGCCAGTGAAAGAAGGAAGAATAGTCATAGCTTAATAGTTTCAAGTCTTGGGCTGAAAATTCTCAGCATGCCCACTGTTTCATTCCCTAATTTCATAAAGAAATTGAGCCGGATGTCAGTATATATCTGACTATACTTACGAGCTTCCTTCTTTCTTTTGCTTAAGGAGAATCTACCAAATTTCTTCTCAGAGGATGCAGGATCTGGATGGCCTGGCTTAGATGTCTTTATCTCAGGGATTACTCCACCTTCCTTAGAGGCTGAAATCTCTAGAATATGAGGTACCACTACCCTTTCTCTGAAAATAAGATTTTTAATTAAAAGGTAAAAGGGAGCAATTTGAAGTATACTTCTTTTGAAAAAATCCAAGGATAAAAGTTAGGAGGACAGGAAAATCCTAGGCTTTCTAGGGCCTTGGAGGTCCACTGGCCTATTTTTCCCAACTCAACTCAGGCACCTTTCCTGAGATGAGAGAAATCTACAGAAATATGAAAAATGACTAGGTAGATAGAGAGATGGATGACCATTTATCAATGTTAAGTCTACCCTGTGATCAACTCACCTCACTGGATAAACTTACCCATCAGCACTATCATTATCAGTAACAGAAGAAGAGATTCCCGGTTCCTTGTCTAATTGTGTACATCTTGTAGGCTGGGCACAGGAAGTCTCTGCAAAATCAAGGCTAGATTCCATTCCTCCCAAAACAAAATACTATAAGCAGAGAAGTAATTAAAGAAAATAACCACTCCATTATTTCCAAACTGTAAACTTTCACTAAAATATCTCCCATCAGTTGCCAAGAAGAGCTTACCTTTGGACTTCTGTCACACCATATAACTTTTAAGTTTTTTAATTCTCAGGAAAAACTGCAAATCTATATCCTTCTGCAAGCCTTTCCAGATTGATCTGCCTATTCCAGGATAGTCAGGTAATGTTAATTTTATTTTGTGTACATTACAGAAATTTTATGTACCGTGTTTTTATATCATTTCCTTCTCAAACTTTCTCCAGCTATACCTAAGAGTAGCTGAAAATGTCAAACCATTTTTCTTAGCCCCATTACTTTATGGAGAAGGCCTCAGGGCCTATGCTATAGAATTCCTTATTCTAAAACTCAAATTCCTGAGCATATGTTAAAACAGTATTGGAAACAAAAATATGCAAGGGTAGATGGAGACTAAGTTCTTCAAATATGGGAAAAACAACTTATCTTTTGTAAACAGATTGTAAACATATAAAAATAAATTTAAGTTATATTTTAAAAATCTAGGCGAGATTATATTTATATTCTAAAGTCAATATAATCTATGTTTCTAAAAGTCTTTACCACCTAAGGTGGTTTAGCTATAGTCCTGTTAATAGAAGATGAAGATTTAAAAATATTTCAAAGTCCCATCTAATACTTCCTTAATTAGAAAGATGGAGGGAAGGAGAGAAGATATAAATTTACTCTACCCCTCAGATAAGTTTCTTTGCCTAACTGAGACTCTTTTACTCTTTCTATAAGCCATACCCAGGCACTCCTGGAGGGACTTCCGTAGCACAATCTGGACAATCTCTTCAAATTCTGCATCGGTAAGACTTGATTTTTCCTGCAGAGAGAAGGGTAGGGGAGAAAAACTGTTCATCTTTCCCTGGTCCTCCTCTCTGACTAGCCGAGGAAGTCGCCTTTAGATGAGGCAGTAAGTTCATAAGGCTGAGAGCATGAAGTTAACCTAAGGATTCCATAAATTCTATCCAACAATTCCTGGGAGTAAAGGACTCAAAGAAAAGGAGAAAGTTTATAAAGTCTCTGGCTACTTCTACTCTCAACCTGTATCCCACCTCAGCCCCGACCTACCTGGCATTCCCTACTAAATGCTTTCATCAAAACATTTTTTACCTCCTTGAGAAGAAAATGGAAGCCCCCAAAAAGGAATAAAAAACTGAAACTACAAAATGAATTTCCCCTGTGGCATTTACCACATTCAAATTTATGTTATAAATATTTAAATGTCTCTTCTGAAATGAAAAGATTCTGTTTGCCTAGGCTGGGTGACTAGGAGAAATTGTCCCACTAGAGCCCATCCATCTAACTTTTACCTTTTCTTTCTTCTCTGCTTTCTTGTTGTTTTGGGCCTTTCTTTTTATTTCCTGGCCACCACCTGGACCATTTTCTGTGGTTGCTTTCTCCTCTTTCTTCTCTAACCTGGCCTGTAGCAGGCTTGGCCTGGCCTCTGGGGAACTGATCCCCAGGATCTCCTCCTTAGATGAGTTAAGGCTACAGGGCATCAGGCTATGCAATTTTTGTGCAGGTGGGGCAAAGGTTTTCTTCGGTCCCTTCCCACATTCTGAAAGAAATTTGATCATCAAATGGAATTTATTAAACATGGAATCTAGCACAAAAATTGCCAAACATTGCTCAATGATTGACCATATCAGACTTACCTGGAGAGCTTTCAACAAGTTCAGATTCCTAGGCCTCTCTCCTCATTCAACACCCCCAGCTCCCCACTCTCTCACCCCTGCCCTGAGATTCTGATGAAGCTGTTTGAAGTGAAGCCTAGGAATCTGTCATTTTACAAGGCTATCTAGATGATTCTGATGCACTTTCAGGTTTAGGAACCACTGACTAATTCAAAGGTGACAAATATAAGCACACAGGAAACTGAAGTATTCAAATGTGAAAATTTTTTAAATTTGCTTATTTTAACTTTGTGCAAAATTTTATGGGAAATCAGAGTTTTTTTTAAATGGTCAAAATCTACAAATGATGTAATGAAAATTATAATGATCCTCCCAAGTATAAGTAATATATCTTTCTTCTGAGCTTCCATAATACTTTAGAGAGTCTAAAAAGTAGTAACTTTAACAGTGGACACAAAATATATATGTGAACTGAGCTTCTCTTTGGTGAGAAGGGTGTCCAAATTGATCACAGGCTGAGAAAGGGGAGGAAAATGACTCTTGACTCACCTTCTTTACTCTGCAAGGTTGTCATCATTCAGCTCAGAAGCTATACTTTCTTTATGCCTCTAGTAGAAAAAAGAAACAGCTATGACTCTGAATGAACATGACTTCACAACTTTCTTCTCTCCCTGTCTTCTTGGGTTCAGGATAGCTTTGCCTGGGATGCCTGTACTACATTTTCTGCCTTCTTGACTACAATTCTACTCCTCAGTAGTGCCAGTTACATGCTGGAGGATAATGAGAGTTACTGTTTTAAAGATAAGCAACAATCCTTAGTGTTTTAAGTGCCTAGAACCATGTCCAACGTGAAGTAGGTAATTGTAAGTAGGTGGAAATGGTAGTGGTAGAGATATGTTAAAAAAACAAAACTCAGCTGAGTAAATTTTGAGGATCTTACTGGCTTTAATAAACAATACATTGGATGCTGAATCAGGCAGCATCCAATCCAGCAGATAGATAGGAGCTCCAAAGAGCTGGACAAAATTAAAGATTTCTACAGGCAAAAAGGAGCAGAAACAGGAAATAACACTAGGCAAAAAAAAAAAAAAAAAGGCAGATTGGTTATCCAAGGTGACTTTCCTTTAGCGGATTCCTGGAGTCTATCAGGATTACCTAACTAGTGCTGATCAAGCAATTCCTGATTGACTGGTTTAAGATTCCATTTCTGGGAAAGCCAAACTGTAATTAAGTCTTGGTTTGGTGACATAGGGCTTAGCGTAAGTGACCCCATTAGGGGCCTCTTATTAAAACAAGACATGTTTTAGAAGATGGAAGTATAAGGAGTAGTAAAGTAGTAGTAGTAGGGTGTGGACAGTCCTAGGAGTTAAAGAGTGAGCATTTTCTTCAGCAAGATAACCTCATTTCACAAGGTTCTCCTAAATGCTTAAAACACAAATTGGCAATTCTCCAACCTAATTCAGAGGTCCCTTAGGCACAGAGAATCACCGTTTATTTTATTTATTGAAGTACAGTCAGTTATAATGTGTCTATTTCTGGTGTCTAGCACAATGTCTCAGTCATGCATATGCATACATATATTTGGAGAACCACCTTTTAAACATCACTATAATATGCATTCCTTTTACTTAGCTCCTCTAGTCCAATACATTTCCCAATGTGCTGGATTCTATCCATTTCTATTCATGGCTCAGAAATATTTGGTAACCAGCAGAGGTCTCCACAGAAGCTAATAATAAGAACCTAGCACCTTCACTCTTATCCATAGTTTATCTATAGCTGTCTACTCACAGATGCTCTACACGACATCAATATGCTTCATTATTTCTACCAAAGTTGTGACTAATAATAGTGGGTAACACTTCTTCAGCACTGACTATATTCTTGAATATGTCATCTCATTCAATTCTCCCAATAAATCTATGAGATAGATTCCATTATACACTTGGGGAAATTGAGGCTTAGAGGAATTTAGAGATTTTAAGTAATTGATAAATAGTAAAATCAGGATTAGAAGTGGTCTGATTTATACGTTTGCACTATGAGCTGTGCTACACTACATCCCAATATTCTAGTTCAGTAGTTCAGTCCTTCACTCTGTTTTAATATCACAGCATACGTGTAAAGTATACATTAAAAGTACACATTGAAACACACAGAAAATTATATTTCTAGGTCAAAGGCTGCTCACAGCCATAGACAACTGAGGAGTAAGAGTCAGAGGTATCCAGCCATAAGAGAGGTTGAAGAGTATTTCTACACAGCTATAAGTCATTAGTGGCCCCGCAGAGTGCCATGACTTACCTTGTGATGTTCTAAGAACTTACACATTTTTCCAGTTTATACGTTCCATTATTGATATTATTTCTACTCAGCTGTTAGAAGAGAACTGCCTTTTGTCTTATCAGCCTGAATTTCTTATAACCTTTCTACCCAATTTTCTTTAGGCTTAGAGTATATAAGCCATTCTTATTTTTGTAACATTTAGAATAAGCATTACAGCTCTAGGAAAGTCTTTAGAGGTTATAACGTGCCATTTCTCCTTTTTAACAGATGACAAAATATGTAAAGAGAGGTTAAGTGGTTGGCCCAAAGCCTCAGTGTTAACACACTGAGCCAAGATGAATCTGGGCCTTTGGCTTCTAAATTCTAATAACACGTCTATTCTTCTCAATGATCTTATTTCTGGCTGTTGGTTTTAAGTACTTTTGAGTGCCCTAGACCTGAAACTCAATCTTCCAACTCTGCCATCTCCCATTATAAAGAGATCCAAAAGCAGCATAGAATGGATCTTTTGGTTCATATATTCTTCCCTCTAAGGATCTGAGAATTTTAAGACCCTCAAATGATCAAGCTAAACACTCAGGCATTCAGGGTGTAGAATTCCTCCCTCTAGTCCCCAGATGAATTCAAAAGATATTGGGGACTTGACTTAGTGTGGTCACTGCATGGCTGAATGTAAAGTATTTTTAAATTATGTCTTTGGTATTTTTCTGTTCCTTTGCTTAATTATATAAATGCAAATAATTCAAATGTGCTGTTCTAAAGTCACTACTTTTCCTTTATATTAAGGAGCATACCTTCTCACTGTTTCCATCCTTGCCTTCTTTATAATAATCCTAAATAGAAGCTAGAAACTGCATAAAATTAGGCTGCAAAAGGAACAATAATTTTACCACAAATGACAAACATATCTTCTCCAAGACTCTAGAATTCCAAAAATGATCATGAGAAGTCCATATGAATGTAATGAGAATTATAAGAGCTTTATGAGAAAAGCAAAATGAAAATTAGTGTATTTGAAATGACAAAATTTGATTTTTTTAAATGTATACCTATATAATATGCTTGTGTATCCATAAACTAGCTCTGGAAGAATACACAAGAAACTGACAAAAGTGCCTCGCAGGGAATGGAATTGGGTGGCTGGGGGTGGAAGGGAGCTTTCTACTATACCCTCTTGTGTAACTCCAGCATTTTACACATACTTCATCATTTCAAAGTGATTTTTTAAAATTCTAACTTCTTTAAAGAAAATAAAGAGTATTTTGATCAAGGTAAAACTTTTCCAATAGTTAGGCTTAAATCATTACATAAACCTATACTGACCTCTCTAGGCCAAAATGTGTTACTGGAGCCCCAACTAACTAAATAAAATTGTGGATCATTGTTGAGTTAATAAGATATAGTAAGGGTGTGATGAAGGACTTTATTTTTTAAAAAAATCTCTAACCTGATCAATAGAGAAGGGAAAGCCAGGAAGTCTCTGTCTGACAACTCAAGTCTCTGCTCTTCTGTTTTGGATGAAGTATTTTCTTCCACAATAGCAAATACTGAAATCTACTTCAGAGAGAGAAAAACAATTTTAAAGACAGTAATAAATACACAAAATACCAACTTTCATCTGACCAGTTACTAAATGACTGGGGTCTCTAGACATAGGAATATTTGAGGTTTTAGTTTCTCTTTTCCTACTTGGGATGAAAAAGAGAGGAAAAAATCCAATAAAGCTTTACATGTGAAAGTAAAAGAAAGTTCTATAACCACATCCTAACCACTTAACTGACATAAGAAAGAAGGGTGGATAAGGAGAAAAAAACAACTTAGAAGTAATAAAGGAAACCAAATCAGGTGTTTCAAAAGATACAGTTTCGTTTCACTTAGAACACTAAAAATCATCAGTCTTATTTTAAGATGAAATTATCTAGTTCAGCGTTCTCAGTGTGATCCAAAGACCTCTGGGGGGGTCCCCTCCATTTTCCAACTACTTATCTGTGTTAGGCTGGGTTTTCTCATATTCTTCAACCAAAACAAACAGAACAGATTGATTTCAGAAACAGAGGAAAATCCAGCTGTTTTCTATTAAGCCAGACATGAAAGAGATTTGCAGAAATGTAAAATAACACCATTCTCCACATTAAATTTCTTTCATTTAGGAAAATATTTTTTTCATTAGAATGTTACCTATGTTAATACGTAACAGGTTTATTAATGTTACTTTAAAGTTAATAAATATTTAATTTTTTCTCAGTTTAATACCTAATATATTAATATCAATAGATGCATAAATAGAGATAAACCAATCTTTGGAGTCCTCCATAATTTTTAAGATTATAAAAGGGTTCTGAGACTAGGAAGTCTGAGAACTGATCTAGCCAAACAAGGTAACTCAATTTTGTCAATATTTTTCAAAAAGCATTAATCCCTCCACCCACCCACCCCCATTTAGAATATGCTCACAAATTTCTCTCCTCCTAACTATCCAGTTTTTCCTTCTTTATACTGTCCCTGGAACCCCTGGTCTAAGAGAACAAAAGTAAACCCTTTAGAATTGTCTTCTAACACAGATCCTGTCAGCCTTAAAAAAAAAAAAACAAACCTGTATTTAAAAACCATATTTAACATCTCCTTTAAGCTGGAGTTTGATTTCCCTATGTCATTAATGGCATGTAGGCCTCTGTTATTTTCATGCCTCCATTAGGAAGTTTTCTTTTCTTTTTCTTTTTTTCATGTGTGTGCGCTCAGCAAGCATGATTTAAAACTTTGAACAAAGACAGAAAGAAGAAATGATCCCAGCTACTGGTACTGCCCATATTAGAGTACGTAACAAGACATTCACTGTCATAACTACTTGAAGTAAATCTTTTACAGAATCTACGGTGACCTAAGGCTTCTTGGTTCAGAGAGTGCAAGGAAGAAATGAGATAGGGCCACTTACCACCAAAACGGACTCTTTCGGGACCCTGTCTTTGTTTACACCCTTCACTCCCCGAAATGCTTCTACGGGTGTCCCTAATTGTTCTCGACCTCAAAGTAGCCTTTTTGTGTTATTTTCACAACACAGAAAAGGGCACATGCCCACGAACTCCCAGACCCTTGCACCATTTTTTTCCTCACAGAGTGACAAGGTTTGGAACGCTAAAAGGCCTCCTCCCGCCTTTAAAGCCAAAGGGAAGAATTTCCTGCGATCCGCATTTTCCCTCTCTTTCCTCACCAATTGTGTCTTAAGAACAACAATTAACATGGGAGATACCACCGGGTCAAAAGTCCTTGACTCCCCTCAAAGGGTAAACCAGTGGCTTTCTAGCCTCTCTTCTCCATCAAGAACCCCAGAATGAGAGAATTTCCCCTCAGCTCCCCCTCCCCGCCCCCACCCCGCGGAGGCACCAGGATCCTCATTCTCGCTCAGCCCTTGATATTGGGTTACTCTTGTTTGTTGGGAGTGAGTTTGCGTTTATAGATTCTAAGGAGAGGGGTAAGAGTCGGTCGTCGCCCTGAAGAGAAAACTTCTCCTCAGGAGACAGATACCAGGATTGGCCGCATCTAGAACCTTCAGCTGCAACCGGAGAAGCACTAGGTACCTTCCAAAGCGAAGAGGACCTAAAAGCGAGGAGCAGAACGAGCTACTGCCGTGATTCCAAAAGCTCCTCCAATCTCGACCCAGTTTTCCCGCCACCAAGGAAAGGCGCGAGGCCACGCACGAGCTCCACCCCCACCCCCAACAGCGGCGTGCTCGCAGGGCTGGGGCGCATGCGCAGCTGGAAGCCGCTTCTGCGTTTGCGCAGCAGTGTTATTGCCGCCATCTTCCAACCGAAGGCCGTGTAAAACTACAAATCCCATAATCCTCGTTGGCCACTGTTCTTAGGTGGCAGAATAGCGCCTGATCGTTCATAAAGCCTATCTTCCTTTTACTAATTTTTCTCTCTGCTCCAGACTGCCTTTTCCTTCTTCTTTTCGTTCCCTGATTCCCATTATTCCTTTTAGTCTCCTCTACGCCCTTAATTTGATATTTTGAGACTATCCTTAACCCCACTCTCGTCTCTTCTGCCCTCTTCTCAGCCACAGGACCTGCATCCCCAACTGCTATGGGCAGGGAGAACGGGCCACCTAGTACCCCCTTGGAAAGGGCGTTAAGTAGCTTCTTTCCCATTGGCTGAGGCAGGGGGCCCAAAGCAGGCCGAAACGTCTTCCCCGCCCACATTCGTTTTTATATAAGGCGGCGCAAAGCCGCAGCGCGCGCTCGGGAAGGCCTGTGTACGAGGGGGCGGTGGCAGTGTTGATGGATGCACAGCTATTGGTGGCTGTGGTGGGCGCCGGGGTCGTTGTCCGCGGGCTGGGGGGCTCGTGCGCAGGCGTCGGGTGGTGGGTGGAGGCGTTGGTGTAGGGGCGGTGGAGGCGGAGGAGACGGAGGAGAGGGCGTGGTGTCCCCAGGTGATCGTGATTGGGGGAAGGCTGGGGAGCGAGAAAACCACTCGGCCGTTTCGGGGAAGAGGAAGTTGGACTGTAACATCGCTTGTTTTATCGCCTTTTTTTTTTTCAGTTCAGCAGAGAATATTTTCCAGGGGGGTGAGTTAAAATGATCTATCGTATTATATTGAGAACAGTTTGTAGGAAGACGGTTAGTACGCTCCGCTCTTTCCCTCCCCCCTACTTTTAGATTCACTCCTCCGCTCCCTCGCAAACCTTTCTAAATAGGTGGGCAAAGGGGGCAGCAAGTTATGAATAATTCATGAGGGCCGCCCCGTTCCTCCCTCACGCCCTTCCGAATCGTGCTGACGCACGTTTCGTGTACCAAACCTGAGGAAGCGACGTAACAGTCCCCGCCCCTCGGACGGAGGGCGGGGCGTCATCTCCAGCACGTGCTGCATCTACCCGCGCAAGCCCAAAAGGGTGTGCGCAGGCGCTGCCCGCTAGGGGGAGGAAGGGGGCGGGGTAGGGAGGTTGCTGGTTTTAGAGCCGGGCGGAGACCGCTGAGACTCATTCCTCAGGAACAAGGGTCGGGTGTCAAGGAGACCTTTTCACTCCAGCTCCCCGACCCCCGCCTACGGTGGGTGGGATCGCGCGGCACAGACAAAGGATATCAGTAGGGACGGACATAGCTGCGAAGGGAAGTAGGGTGTCAGTTTCGGGTGGTGGGCTTTTTCTGGGGGGGCTGAGGGAGGCTATATTTAAACTCCCGGAGCCGTTAAGTTGCTTCGTACTCCGATGCGCGCGCAACCAGGGTGGTGGCGGAGTGCGCATGCGTGATTCCGGGACGAGAGGAACGCGCTCCAGCAGTGCGCGCTCGCGGCGAAGCGGTAGTGGTAGAGGAGAAAGGGGTCGGCGCACGCGCGGTTGATTCCTCGAGTTGTTCGGGTCTCGCGGGCATCTTGTTTTGATCTCGCGGGCGAGTGGGGCGCGCTTCGGGGGAGGCGCTTGGGCGCGAGACTAGGCGAGAAGAGCAGAGCTGCGCGCGCACT